GGGGGTTAATTATGGTCGTGTCACGCACGAATGTCTAATAATTAATAATTCATATAACATTTAAGGCCTAAAGAAAGACCTGTAAATAGGCAGATTTAGCTCTTGCATAATGCCTGTTTAACCGTGGATTATTCTTTTGGTTGATTTGAGAAATATGCATGAAATCATACCAAATTAAAATGCATAAAGATGTAACAAAAGATTAATACTAATTTAAATAAAATAATGCTTAGATAAAACAAAAATATTTCGACATATGCGCTTTGATATTGTCAATATAATCATTACGAAATATATAAATGTATTTATGAATAAAGATAATATCGCATTGGGTTTTTTTATCGGTGAAATACTGACTTAATCTCTTTTGAAGTGACAGGTGGATTATCTATAAAAACCAGTTTGTCACAGATTATTTCCTGGCTTTCATACGTGTGTTTATTAACACAAGATGAACGTAAAACTATCTGCAGCTTGAAATACAGGACTGACATCAGTTTACACAGTCCCCGCTGGGTGGCAGAATTATCTAACGGTACGCTTTATAGTCGCATGTCCATCCCCCGCCCACAATGCTAAAGCTCCTATGTGCATGTGAATATAAAAATAAATTGAACCACATGTCGGTCCGTCAATGACCTGGTTTGACGTTAAAGTCCCGTTCCTCTCTCACATACACACGCATAAACCACGTAATGTTGGCGAAACCAGTCAAACCATTCCTGTGAATGTAGTGAGTGACCATGCATTCCGAGAAGAGATTTGGAGATTAAAACGCAGTTGTGTCCTCGGAAGTTGATATTTGAGACAAATGTGCACTCAACGTTAGCTTGTTATTTGAATTTCATAGCCATGGGCGGTTTTACTTGTAAAATTACAATCGCGCAAAGTCTGGCGTTAGGCAATTCGGTATCAATCACTTTCCACTTAAAATTAAATGGCAAAGGTGTTGGGTCCTATAGTAATCACCGACAACAGCGTTTATTTTGTTAATAGTGCCCAAAGAATTGCACAAACTGACCGACAATGAAATACAGAATTTATAGATATAATCATATCCAAAATTTAAATGATTTCATACAAATACTGTATGGACAAAATTATAGATCATATTGATAAAACGGCCCTACCAATCACGGACAAGAGCGGGGTTTTTTTTGTTAGTAGAATCCAAAGTATTGCTACAAGTGAACAACAAGGAAATTATAGATATGCATATAACCAAATTGTAATGTACTACTGGTTTTAAATATGTTCATTGTGTCTTAAATATTTGAAATCAGGAACCCATATGTTTCACGGCAAGATAACAGCATCACCGTTGATTGAAATGGGCCAATATTTCGTGTCTGTAATGTTGATTACTCTGGGAAATACAGCGTTGGCTGAGTGGGTGAGGTGCTAGCTCGCGAACTGGTTAGTTCTAAAAGTTAAGGACCACCGCAGATTTGGTCAACGGCCACGAGGTGTAAATAGGGCTAGTGCTAACCCTAACCCTATTCACATCTCACGACCATGACGAAATCTGAAGTGGGCCTAAACTTTTAGATTTTGCCCTCGCGAACTAGTATTTCCGTGGCTCGCTTTCGGGATTGACCAAGAAAGTTTCCTAGAATATTTCGACTTGGTTTCACCCTGTAAGTAGTGCTGAATGGGGGTTCGTGACAAAGAACACCTTCCAGGTGTTCGAGTGGGATAAAAGTCGAGGCCCCTCATAGCACACTGCATGACATGTATGCCAGTCTCCATCATCGCGGTTGGTTGCAGAAAAGTAAGACGTTAAACCCAATTTCATTTCGTAGATTATACTTCCATGTTAATATTGTAGATTATTACATCACTTCTATAATAAAATGTTTGATTAAATGAAAAGAAATGAAATATAAAATGAAATATAAAATGAAAAATGAAATGAAAAATGAAACGAAATGTGACTTAACGTCCTTCCAATGCAACTGGGCTTATGAAGACGGGTATACGCCATAAAGTGTGTTATGAGGGAAAGTTTGCCCGGACAGCGACACAACGGTCAATTCTTCTATCAAATTTTAACTGCCAAGAGATTTTTACGTGCACGCCAATGTGTACATGGGACCTCGGTCTTTCGTCCCATCCGAGTGACTATACGTTGTCCCTTCTTACCTGCTGAGCCACCGTGGCTCCCCAGAAAAGTAAGACGTTAAACCCAATTTCATTTCATTTCCCTATAAATACTTCTATGCTATAATATTATAGATTATACATCACTTCTATAATAAAATATTTGATTAAATTCCATGACTGGAATGCTGAAATCAATAGAGAAGGTAGGAAACCTCTTTAATGCGCTTATTCATTCCTTATAATAGAATGTATATTGCGACATTTACATTACAGACGACAGTTTAAGTCTTCACAAAGAGATATAATTATCATACTGGTCGGAATAGAAAATCGTTTTATTCTAAATCGCATCAATTCTATTATGAATACACCACATTGCAAAACAAAAATCCTGAAATATTCCAAGTTTGGGGTTTTGGTCTCAACTTATCTGTTTTATATGTAGTGTTAGTTAACTATGCATTAGCCTACGTAAGAGCTAAATTTGCCTATTGCAAGTCTTTCGTTTGGCTTCAATATTGTTATATAAATTAGTATTTAGACATTTATTAACATGATAATTGAGGCTAGTTTCGGTTGACAAGTACCGTTACCACGATAATGAACGATCTACGCTATATCTTCACAAAGTTATAACTTCGCACAGAATAAAATAATTTGAATGATATTTTTAATATATTCATTATACATTATATATTTGTGAACTATTATAGCAAAAACGTCCAGCTGTTCATATAACTCTTACATAAACGTTAATACAAGTCGTTCTGGATAAAATAGTTTTGATGATGTTTTTAAAAAGTTATTTAATCTATACTCTTCAAAAAGAGAAACGCATAGTGACATTTCATCGTCGGTATACCTTCGATCTACCATCGCCTCGTTGCAAAAGGTACCGCGGAACCAAACTGTACTCCAGCGTTGCTGTAGCCATACCCTGTATGTCTGGATCTATTGAAGTCGGATTTGACAGTGTCGGTGTATTTCTCATAATCCGGTTTCACGTAGGCTAAAGGCGAGAGATGATACTCTGGGAAACATTCGGCAGTCTGGCTACATCTTTCTGGGATTCACCTGCTGGTAACCGACCCATTGCGTTGTTGGGTTAATTGGTCTTCGTTTGGATGGAGCATTGGCTCTTTGAGTGTTTACATGTGCAACTGATTTTGAAAACGAGAACCCTGGGATTTTAAAGGCCTTAGATTTGGGTTTCATGCGAAAAGCTTGCGAAGTTTGGCAAAAAGTATGACCAGTCACAATTAGTGACCCTACATTTAAAACCAATCATGAATTTCTTTTATCCTTACATAATGACATTAAAAACAAGTAAGATTTATGGAAACAACAATCCCGTTCAAATAAAAAAATGATGAAAAATAGGTTATGCGTTTCATTTTTTGAAGTGTATTATACATGAAACATCAAACACAAGCCGTCAATACAAGCCGTTTCGCGTTGAATAGTTTAGATGATATTTTTCTACGTATCTGACTCTTTTAAAAGCAATATTATAATAAATCCATTCTTGGTTGAATAGTTTAGATGTTTTTCAACGTATCTGTTTTAAATGTAATGTTATTTGATGTATATTAAACGTCAATACAGGCCGTTGTTGGTTGAAGGGTGATGTGATTTCTGTGAACACACTTTAAATAATCCATCAAATACGTTGTAACAATGTAATCCGTATGAAAGGTATACCAGTTTCAAACGAAACTATAATGCGTCAATAATATTTATTAATATGTGCTATCTACCAAAATTAAAATTCAAAAGAGAGCTCTGTATAAAAAGTAAGCCCTGGGTTATACAAAAGCAGCTGCAAACATTAATATCCGGGTATATATAATCTGTTCGGCCATGCAAACCAGCTATTTATTTGACCAGTAAAGTTGAAGCAGTTATTTAAAAAAGTAACTGCTGCTAGACACAAGAATAAGGGCTCGGTCCATGGCCATACTTTCACAGTTGAAATATACAAATGTGAAATCGAACCAACGCGTGAGTTTATTTGATTAAGTTAGTCAATAGGCATCTCTTAAAAACAGAAGAGGCATCACTCAATGCCTAACCCCACGTCCTCAAGACGTCTGTGTGTTCAAAGCCCCATTGCCGGTTGTCAGAACAGTATAAATGGTAAAACTGTTATTGGTGGCAGTGTCCAGCAAATCGTGAAATAGGTGTTAGGGGAAATCGGCACTGTACTGCGGTGCATTAGTCCGATATATTATAGGCGATAACTTTCTGTAACAAATCGGGCGCAAAGATATTATAATCAGTGTTAATATACTCTGGTTTTATGACGTGTTTATCCACTAATACATCTAGTATTCCCGATTGAGATATAAACATAGGACATTGATCTGTGAATGTATAAAGTCTTGTTGGGAATTAGAGACGATGTTACTCTCATCTCCTTAATAAATATATTTATACATATCATCCTTCCATCAGTCCGATTCCGTGTCTCATGGTTACAATAGAAACATCACAATATACATACATGACCCCCGTACCATAAAGAGGATTGTAAACGTTTTCATGGGAGGTAAATTTAAGCTGCTGTATTTTGCCTTGCAAAACAGATAGCCATAGAGACAAGACTGGAAAAAAATACTTGGATTTTGACCAATTTTGATAAGGATCCTTTATGTCCACAAGAAATATGATTTCTGTTGTTCACTGGCTTTCTCTGGAACAGAAAGTCCTAGAATGCTGAAAATCAACATGGTTCATCCTCTGGGATCCCAATGCTTGATAACAAATTTTAAAAAAAACCTGTTAAAAGCACAGTTTTCTGAAAAGCAGCAATCACTCCGGGACATAATGTCGCGCAACATTGAAAATCAATAGGTGAACATCAATAGTTGGCACAAGCTCTAGGTATGCAACTGAGTGTTTGTTTATTTTATATGTCCTATAACATTTTGAAACTCTTAAAAAAAGTAAATAAAGTTGTAAACCTGGAGAGTACATTGTGTGTTTATTTTATTTACATGATTTTTAACATTTTATAACTATGTAGGTTTAAATATCAAATAATGTCTGTTAATTGCTGCCACAAGAATAGCTTATTTTTGCTCAAAACTATCAAATATTTTGAGTCCAATCATGTGGTTGCCACCATTCTGAGAATTCTAAAACTCTGATTCTTTGTTCATCGAAATTTTCTTTGGGAGGATTTTTCCACAATTTGTGATTAGCATCAATCATTCCACCTACAACTTCCTGTAATCATACAATAATAAGGTATTTACTTACATTTCAAAATAATTTTCTCTGTTATCCAGAACAACAAACCTATTGCATTAATGTCCTGGATAACTGAGATTACATAGCATGTCAGACTGGATATTATTAAATAGAATATATGGCTTGACATTTCAGTTTCTTTGATCTAGTTTGACTATTTTCATAATAGTCATATGATTAGACATACTTTAAAACGACTCTTGGAGTCTGAAGATGTAAACATTTGCAATATCTATAGCTAACATCCAACCAGGATATATGCCCAATCAAATATTAAGATATTGTGAATCATATTCAAAATTCCAATATAAGGGTATCATTTTTATTATACAGCTATTTAAACTATAAACTATATAAATAAAAACAAAGTGTGTATGTATGTATATTCACCCATCACGCTTCGTCGTCGCGTTTCACCCCCACATATGCGGTATCAAATCAACCAACAGGACCTCATTAATGTTTGGGCCCCCAGGCAAACCACGTTCGTCGCTGTACTCCAACCCCAAATATGTGGTATCAAATTAACCAGTATGACCAACGTGAATGGTTTAGGCCATCAAATTTGCACTTCGGGCATTTTAAGGCAAATTGGGCCCCTGGCGAATTTAGCCTTCGGGTGAAGCTGGCTATCCTTCTAGTACATACTAAAGGAAGAACAATTACTTAATTTATTTAAGGTAACAACTCCAAGCGTATTCTCTCAACATTTTCAAGCATCTTCTAAATGTAACCTAAATAATGAAGTATTTGTTCTTCCATAAGTATGTGTTATAGTTTATCACTCTATCTAGTAAACTAAATTTCTCTAAAGGATTGTGTTATACAGCTATTGTATATTATTTCAGTATTTTAAAGTATCCTATAGGGCTTTAAATCAATAATATCAGATATTTTCCCTATGGGTGGCTGGCCCAATGGGTGGGAGCGTTATTTATTATTGTACCTTTTATTCGTAAGGGTTTTTAACAATGGAAAACCCATGTTACATTTGTGACCCAACTCCTGTAAATATAGATCAGATTATCCAGACAGAGCTTATTTGTACCAAGTGTGGCCAGCAGAATTAAACCCTTTCAAGTATTAACACAACAAGGATACATTAAAGTGACTCAGCAATACCTTTTTATTTTAACCATCTCGTTTTTGTTTCTTCCACTTTTAGTAATGTTGCACTGATGAAGAAAGTGGCTGAGATTTACTGATCAATAGATGATATCTACAAGTAGTCATTTGTACAATTTGACCACCGACCACAGATGTTCCTAACCAAACTGATTTAACCTCTATAACTGAAACCATTGTGGTCATAAAGGCAAATATAGGATACAGTCAAAACAAGCCAGTGCCACTCTTTTTAGTCAAATTGCATCCAAACCGATAGATAATGTACCATTCAAAATTTGCTTCTGTCAAATAATCAATATGAGTACAATTTAATGCAGATTAAGCACTGAAAAATGATATCATCTGAAAAAAGATATCATCTGAAAAATGCAAATGCTGATCATTGGCTTTAAATAATCAATTAAAATTCATCAATCTGTTACAAACATAACCCACAATGTAAAGCCTACTTGATTTATTCATAAAAGTTTCCTGATAGCGAACTGACATGTATAATACAATAATTTATCTAGTAGAGAACAGGTGCTTTATATAACAAAGACCACCCACAGGGGATTAAACAGCTTACCCGTCCAAAATATGTCGGAAATCTCTGTTCATCTTCTATGACGTGGGCAAAGCCACCTTGATGACCAAAATCCACACAAAAATATGGAAAACCCTTTGGAACCTGAAAAAAATTAGAATATATTTGACATTTGATTGGATTCAGTTTCTGGAAGAATTCTATACAATAGAGAGGTTTCGTAACTTTACATTTAAACTTACATTTAGACAGTAAAACGTATCGGCTTTTGTGACGTATGACGTGAAGCGCACGTCATAAAAGTGTAGCAGACAGATAATAGCCCCCATAGCTGTAAGTTCACATCACTTAGCTAAACCTTGTTTAATTGCTATGATCCAGTCCATAATTTTTCTCTGAATCGTGTTTTTTTACAAACTAAATCCACAGAGAAGACCGTCTCCTTCATGTAGATAAAATAAGAAGAGGTCGAGACAGAACATGTGCGTGCTTTAGTAATCTCATCTTCAACGATCTATCTGTGATGTTGGCCTATTACGATCGTGGACCTAGTTTGTATTGCCACCTACTAAGTGTAACAGTAAGCTGCTCCAGAATAATAACTGTGGACCAAAAAACTAAGTAAAACTTGTTTACATTGAAACACAACGGTTCATCCTGAATCGCTTGCTATAATAGTTCAAAAATTCGAATATATTGAAAAGTTCATTTAAATTACTTTACTCTCAGTCAAGTTATGACTGTTTGAAGATGTAGTGTTGATCATTTATTATTTTAGCAGTGGTACTTGACAACTGAGACTAAGTCTTGTACAGCTTGTACAAAATACTGTGGCTAGAATGGTGTGCCAATTTAGTAGAAATTGCCACAAAGCACCACTTTTAAAGGGTTTACATTGGCTTCCAGTGGAAATTAGAATTAAGTTTAAAGTTCTGTGCATGGCCTACAAATGCCAGAAAGGTGAAGCACCAGAGTACATGTCCTCAATGCTAGTTGACTATGTCCCCCCACCCAAAGAAATTTTCGGTTCCATCATGAACATCATCTTGTGGTACCCAACTATAGACTTAAGACATTCGTCCAAAGATGCTTCTCAAACCTTGTACCAAACCTATGGAATTCACTACCCTTGACCTTAAAGAATTCACAATCGATTGGCTATTTTAAGAAGCAGTAAAAGACTCATCTTTTTTCCACTGTGTAGAGCTAAATGAGCCTTGAGCATTAGTTTTGATGGATCTGTGTGCAATATAAGAACTCAAGAGTTATTATTGTTAAAATTTAAATCCTGTGTGTATTCAAATCCATTTGTCGTGTGAATAAATGTCTAAATAATAATTATATAAGATTTGAAGTCAGAAAAAAGACCTGCAATAGACAGATTTAGCTCTTATATAATGCGTCTTTAAGAGATATGCTCCAAAATAAATATTGTATACAAAAAACTGAGTTAAAAGTTTCATAAAGATATACCCTGAACAGTTTGCAAAATATCCTCTAGAAATGAAAACCTGGATGGAAGGACAGATGGAGCCCAGTTCAATATCTCTCCCTAACATATTTAAAAAAAACTTTAAGTGACAATATAATTATTTCCATTTATCTTTCTGTGAGCTAGCTATATCATTAATCGGTTAAACAACCCGATAACACGATATCTCTATTACTTATAAGGATATTGAATAATAATTAAAAAAAATTGTGAGACTACTGCAGGTGTACGATTTCTGTTTAATAATAAGTTTGAGACAAGAACTGATCTAAATGTAAGACAAGTGCAGCTGTATTCCGGATGGGAGTCTCATTTCACATGCTTAGATTAAGGTTGTATATACTATATATGGAGAAAATTGCCGTTAGATAAGGCCATATAAAAAAATATTCTGCTTCACAGATAATCCTGTGTCACTTAAAAAAAGGCTGGATGACTTGTTTTTATTTTTCAAAATAAAAATACAAACAGTCTCATTAACTGCTGCACAAGAAGTAGGTCTATAAAACAAATTTGAATGAATCAAAAATGTGGTATAGACTTATTTATCAAGTACACAATCCTGATAAATGATGTTTCTGACAATCTAGTCTCGGTCACCCAGAACCTCCTAGTCTTTAATGTGCAGAGGGTCTGGGACCGTTGTCAATATCTAACAAAAAGTTCCATTGCCCATGCGTAACCGGGAGTTTGGTTTTTAATGTGGTTGATTATCCAGTATCTTTGGCGAAGTCAAGTTAGAGTTGCACCCCTTCCTGCAATAAATCGCAGAATTATTGTATTTTTAATAAAAACAAACATGAATCGTGACCATGAGTTAGGATTAATTAAAAAAAAACAACATTGATATGGCCCATGAAGAGAGAAATTTTACAATAAAAAAATATTAAGAGTGTTAGATATTGAACTGGCAATGCAATCAAATGGATTTTTTGAAATGGCATTCTTAAATTAATTTCATGGGCGTCAACATCTTGTTTTAGGACTAGTTACCTCCCTTTAGAGAGAGAGAGAGAGAAATGGGTTCGACTAATGTATGGTTTAATTTTATTCGAAACCACGCCAGTTGACTCAAAGACAGGCCTTATGATACAACACGCACGTGCTAACCATTTGACCATCCAACCCCCCACCTCCCTTAGACTTGGTTTATGATAATGTAAAAGACTGGATAATCTAGCCAATAACCTATTATTCTCAAATGTTGACAACACATCCAGACTAATATTCGTAGAATATTTTTCTGGATGATAGAGACTACTGACAATCATAAGAGCAGGCCTGGAAATAACGGTTTTAGATGTACATGACATTTTCAACTTAGTGCCGGACATGTATTAATTATATCAATAAAAAAGACAAATCAGTGCCAGACAAAATGACAGGCACCAGAGGTTTAGTGCCTAACAAAGCCTGGATCTGTGCCTGACATTGTCTGTGACAGGTGCCTTATTTCCAGGCTGATGATAAGAGATACTGGATAATCACACATTCGTACATACAACATGAGATAAATGTAGTGCCTGGAAATGTGGTGTTTATGATCAAGTAGTCATTTAGCCCAGTGATCATTTGACAAAATAAAAACACAAAAGTTAAAACTTTCTCCCTCCATTAGATTTTTGGTGAGGATTGTCGGAGAACCAGAATATTTTTGTGTGTGGCCTTACAAGTATATTTCACAACAGAGATCGTTTTCTCCATGGATATTTCAACTGAAAAGAAAGTTGATCAAAGCAGTGAAAGCTCTTTGATTTAGATCAAAATAACATGTTGAATTGAATTAAAGTCTCAATTTATCTCAATAAAAGTACATAATCAAAATTAGCCAAATGGAAAAATATTCTGTCTCTCAGGGTCACATGACCCCATTTTATTTAAAAACAAATGAAAAATAATAACTGTTGTATTAATTACTGTAAGGTAAGTAAATCTTTACCCTGAAGTAAATTGATGAAATTTTTTGATTGAGTCCAGATATATACCATAGACTCAATTATCAAGTATGCAATTCTGATAAATGTTATTGACAATCATAAATGCTATGTTATCATCATACATTCCCATAAATAATATGAGAAAGAGAGAGAAATGGGGTTTAACGTCCACTCGACACAAACTAGGTCACTTCGGGACTAAAACATGGTTCAATTTTTATTTCAATATTTCGCCTGTGCGTGCATAGGGGTCTTTAGCAGTGGGAGGAAACCGGAGGACACAGAGAAAACCCACAAGGTTGGAGATGACCATACTTCTTGTCAGGTACATGCGGGGAATCGAAACCATGCCACTTGACTCAATGACAGACCTTATGATCCAACAAGGACGCATTAACCATTCACCCAGTCAGTGCAGAACAGTAAGACGTTAAACCTCATTCCTCATTTCACTTGTTCCTACAAATGTTATGTTTATGAAAGTCATAGTGATGATTTGAGAAATCATCAGATTGTGGAAAGGATTGTCTTAGAACCAGAATATTTTTTGGGTATGGCCGAACTTTGAGCATTCACATTCAAAAGTACTTTGATTATAATTCATCAAATTTACATAGCTTTCTAACCAATGTATTTTACGCCACCATCGTAGGCAACTGAATCAATAATAATTCAGGTCAGCCTGCATAAAGGGTTTTTACTTTTATGTGCAGGGCATTTTTTAAGGAATCTAAAGCATAGGCGCAAATTGGGGTCCAGAAAGGGAAGTATACTGCCTCCGGGTGCAAGAAAATGTTTGAATTTTGGCATACGTTACATTAGATTAATTGTTTTCAGCAGCGGGGCATTTGCTGCAATCCTTGTACAATTAAAGAAAATGCCCTGCAGATGTCCTTACTTACACAAGAACAGTCCTTACATTAAAATGATCTGGTGTACTATGCCTTTTAGTCATATACAAAGTCTGTCACAAACATATAAATAATCATGAATATTACAACCAGCTTCATTATTATAAAACCTTTTTAGTTATAGATTTCTCATTTCTTACTTAGATGTAAGTTTCTTTCCTTGATGTAATACAGTAAAAAAGCAACATGTCAGTACCGGTATATAAAAATGAAATGAAATGAAATGAAATGAGGTTTAACGTCCTACTGTTCTGCTCCGAACATGGTTAATGAAGACGGGTATATGCCATACAGTGTGCTATGAGGGAAAATTTGCCCGGATAGCGACATTACGGCCTACTCTTATTTTATATCGAATTCCAACTGTCAAGGGATCTTTTAAGCGGGGCTTATGTCGACTTTGCAACTCAAAGCAACTAGTTGCAGTCAGTTGCAAGAGTGCTTATGTCGATCATATCAGCAACTGAGGACAACTGGGAGCAACTGAATTTGGAGTGCTTATGTCGACTCGAAACTGATAGCGATCACACTGAACACGTGACGGTTAATTTATTCATCATGTGATTAACAAAATGGCAAATTACTTAGAAGAAGCAACCCAAAGGCATGGTCGGTCTTGCTACAACTCTAATAGTATGTTATTGTCGACATCATCAAGACTTGAAAAGTGAGTGTCTTCGTTCGCTTCCATTTGCTTATTTATAAAGTCACATGACACGTGTCTCTTGTCATGTGATGTTATTTCCATGGAAACGAGTTGACTCCAGTTGCAAGAACGCTCATGTCGACTGCAACCAGTTGCCACTAGTTGCAGCCAGTTGCAGAAAGTTGAACATGTGCAACTGACTGGAACTAGTTGCTTTGAGTTGTAAGAGGCGCTCAGGTAGACTTTTTTCAGTTGCATTCAGTTGCTTTCAGTTGCTCCCAGTTGCCGAAACGCCAGTTGCTTTCAGTTGCAAGGTCGACATAAGCCCCCCATTACGTGCACGCCAATGTGTACACGGGACCTCAGTTTTCTGTACCATCCAATCGACTAGATAGCTGTCCTTGTCAGGCCAGTATATAAAAGTGTACTTTATTTAGTGAGATAAATGAGAGATATTTTTTCCATACATAAAGTCTATCTGATATAGTTAAAAAATATATTACCTCAACCATCCTAAAGGAAATGGACATTTTAAATTCTACTTTTCTGCACAGGAATAACGAACATGACCATATGCTATGCAGGGGGCTATGAGGAAAATTTGGCCTGGCTAGCGGAACTACAGACTACTCTTAATTTGATTTCCATATGCCATAGGATTTTTGGCATGCACTAACTACTACAGGACTTTCATTTTCCATATTATCCAATGGACTAGACACTTTTCAGATTGAACCCAGGACTGCTTGGTTAATGAGCCAGAATCACACTCACTGATCCACAAAATAGATAATGCTGATTGAGAAATATTTTCAGTACATCTGATATTATGACCCCCCCCCCCCTCAGAATACCAGAGAATAAATAAGAACAAGCCAACAGTGAGGCTGATGTCCCCCGCCGAAATAGGAAAATAATTAGAGAGTTATTGTGTTCCAAAGTCTCAGCAAATCAAATTGCTTATCGCTCTGCTTAATCTGAGCAGAAAATGCTCATTATCGATCTTAGTCAAGGTATTACTGTAATGAAACTATACACCAAGTTTCATCACTCTCACTTAATTAGAACTAAAGTTATAGTGTCCCAAAGCATCAACCAATCAAATTGTTTATCTCTGCTTACCCTAAGCGGAACGGACAGACAAACAGACAGACGGACGAACCCATTTTAATAGTTCCCTGCTTTCTTCGAAAGGCGGGGGACAATAAGCATGAACATTTACTCAATTCGAAGATCAACCAATCAAATTGTTTATCTCTGCTTACCATAAGCGGAACGGACAGACAGACAAACAGACAGACGGACGAACCCATTTTAATAGTTCCCTGCTTTCTTCGAAAGGCGGGGGACAATCAAAGTAGGAGAGTTATTGTTTTCCAAAGTCTCGACCAATCAAATTGCGTATCGCTCTGCTTACCCTGAGCAGAAAATGCTCATTATCAAACTTAGTCAAGGTATTACTGTAATGAAACTATACACCAAGTTTCATCAATCTCACTTAATTAGAACTAAAGTTATCGTGTCCCAAAGCATCAACCAATCAAATTGCTTATCTCTGCTTACCCTAAGCTGAAAATGCTCATCTTCGAACTCCATCAAGGCATTGACCTAATCAACACATACACCAAGTTTGAACATTCTAGCTCAATTAGGAAGAGAGTTATCGTGCCCCAAAGTATCAACCAATCAAATTGCTTATCTCTGCTTACCCTAAGCGGAAATAGCTCATCTTCGAACTCCATCAAGGCATTGACCTAATAAACACATACACCAAGTTTGAACATTCTAGCTCAATTAAAAGTTATCGTGTCCCAAAGCATCAACCAATCAAATTGCTTATCTCTGCTTACCCTAAGCGGAAAATGCTCATCTTCGAACTCCATCAAGGCATTGACCTAATCAACACATACACCAAGTTTGAACATTCTAGCCCAATTAGGAAGAGAGTTATCGTGTCCCAAAGCATCAACCAATCAAATTGCTTATCTCTGCTTACCATAAGCGGAAAATGCTCATCTTCGAACTCCATCAAGGCATTGACCTAATAAACACATACACCAAGTTTGAACATTCTAGCTCAATTAGGAAGAGAGTTATTGTGTCCCAAAAAGTGTGACGGACAGACAGACGGACAGACAGACAGACAGACAGACAGACAGACGGACGAACCCATTTTAATAGTCCCCTGCTTTCTTCGAAAGGCGGGGGACAAAAATAGAGAGAGAGAGAGAAATGGGGTTTAACGTCCACTCGACACAAACTAGGTCATTTCGGGACTAACATATGGTTTAATTTTATTTACATAATTCGCTTGCGCGTAGGGGTCTTTAGCAGTGGGAGGAAACCGGAGGCCCCGGAGAAAACCCACGAGGTTGGACAGGCGACCCTACTCCTTGCCAAGTACAACCGGGGATTAGAAACCACGCTAGTCGACTCAATGACAGACTTTATGATACACCGCGTGCACGCTAACCATTCAGCCATCCAACCCCCCAAATAAGAAATAGTCAGGTTCCTAAATACATAAGACTATCAAACAAGCCAACAGTGAGGCTGATGTCCCCCGCCGAAATTGCAAAATAAATAGATGACACATATTAATTAATCGCACATTTATTTTTTTCACTAAGTTTCATCACTCTCTATCAGATAGAATCAAGATTATCTTGTCCCAAACCATCGACAAATGAAATCGATTAGCTCTGCTTAGCTTCAGCTCGAAATGTTAATTATTGAACTCAGTCAAGACATTCACCTAATGAACATCTACATATACATCAAGTTTAAACATTCACCTAATAGACACCTATGCCAAGTTTGAACATTCTACCTCAATTAGAAGGAGAGTTATTGTGTTCCAAAGTTTCTACCAATCAAATTGCTTATCACTCTGCTTACCCTCAGCAAAAAATGTTCATTATCGAACTTAGTTAAGGTATTCATATAATAAATCTATACACCAAGTTTCATCAATCTCACTTAATTAGAACTAAAGTTATCGTGTCCCAAAGCATCAACCAATCAAATTGCTTATCTCTGCTTACCCTAAGCGGAAAATGCTCATCTTCGAACTCCATCAAGGCATTGACCTAATCAACACATACACCAAGTTTGAACATTCTAGCTCAATTAGGAAGAGAGTTATCGTGCCCCAAAGTATCAACCAATCAAATTGCTTATCTCTGCTTACCCTAAGCGGAAAATGCTCATCTTCGAACTCCATCAAGGCATTGACCTAATAAACACATACACCAAGTTTGAACATTCTAGCTCAATTAAAAGTTATCGTGTCCCAAAGCATCAACCAATCAAATTGCTTATCTCTGCTTACCCTAAGCGGAAAATGCTCATCTTCGAACTCCATCAAGGCATTGACCTAATCAACACATACACCAAGTTTGAACATTCTAGCCCAATTAGGAAGAGAGTTATCGTGTCCCAAAGCATCAACCAATCAAATTGCTTATCTCTGCTTACCCTAAGCGGAAAATGCTCATCTTCGAACTCCATCAAGGCATTGACCTAATAAACACATACACCAAGTTTGAACATTCTAGCTCAATTAGGAAGAGAGTTATTGTGTCCCAAAAAGTGTGACGGACAGACAGACAGACAGACAGACGGACGGACAGACGGACAGACAGACAGACAGACGGACGAACCCATTTTAATAGTCCCCTGCTTTCTTCGAAAGGCGGGGGACAATAAAAAATATATTCATAAACACTATTTGGTGATAAAAACATTATTTATACCATCCAGTTACTTCAAATACTACTTATGTAGAATATTTACAAAATGGTGAATAGTTATGCGTTAGCACGGCTGTGCAATTTGCTATTTCTCTACATATATACAGAGAAATCAATGGCAGAACACTGGTTGACACTCTGTTTTCAATAAGTTATCTACATGCAGGTGCTGATCACAAACTACAGTATGGTGAAAGTTGAAACTTTAAAAAGGCGAGAGAGAGTGAGAAATGGAGTTTAACATCCACTTCACATAAACTATTATTAATTTATTTTAATAATTCGCTTGTGCGTAGTGTTCTTTAGCTGTGAGAGATAATTGGAGGACCCAGATAAAACCCAAGAGGTTAGGCTGGCAACCTTACTCCTTGAAATGTACAAGTAGGAATTGAAATCACACGCGGTTAAACATACGACCAACCAATTCCCCTCTCACTTTAAAAGGAATCTTAGTGCAAAACTGTTCAATTCCATTCAGTATTTACAAGGCTATGAATTAAAGATTTCCTAATTTTAGTTAATTAAGAGAGAGAGAGAGAAATTGGGTTTAACGTCCACTCGACACAAACTAGGTCATTTCAGGACTAACATATGGTTTAATTTTATTTCCATAATTTGCTTACGTGTAGGGGTCTTTAGCAGTTGGAAGAAACCGGAGGACCCAGAGAAAACCCACGAGGTTGGACAGGCAACCTTACTCCTTGTCACGTACAACCGGGGAATCGAAACCACGTCAGTTGACTCAAGGACAGACTTTATGATACAGCACACACATGCTAACCATTCAGCAATCCAAACCCCCTAATTAATTAATCATCCTCTGCAGATGATATAAGTGTCGGTAATTTGTTTATGTAGGCCTCTTTTTTAAATCTGATTAAATCGAAGCCAGCAGATTATCCACAATAGATAGCATTGAATAATGAGATATTATCAAAATATACACAACTGATATAGCCAATTTTTATTTTTGGATTATTTTATTTGAACCAATAATTTTATTTTTCCTAGACAAATTGATGGCCTAGCATACTGGAAGGGATACATCTTTACAAGGCAACACCGATAAATCGAAAGAATATAAAAACAGTATTTACCGAATGTCTGATATCTTTTTTACTCAGATCAACCACCTTTACATTCTGAGACCATTCTGACTCACTATCTTGAATTGCTTTCTGAAAAATGTCATACAGTTTAAAAACAATTAAATAACAATAACAAGTGCTTATATTACCCAGTTATTTAATGAGACAATCTCACCATTGTGATCATCCCAACAGTAACAACTAATAAAGTTATCCAATACATTGGACAGATCAAGGTCAATATGTCATATTCGCCACCATCTTGGAATTGTGACATCAAAATCATAGTTAATCAATCAATGTCCAATTGTCCTGGGAACAAGCATGCCATGTTTTGTTGAATTGGCAAAGTCTTGGGCTTTTTTCAAAACCACAATAAGAAGATAAGTAGTGCATAAATCGCAAAATAGACCTGTTAAAAATTTTAAGGGGAGGCACTGCTTGACAATATGCATTTTAAAATAACTCATTAGCTGCCCATCTTCATTAGCCCAGTTTAGGAGCAGAACAATAGGATGTTAAACTCCATTTGATTTCAATTTCATTTATCTCATTTGTACAGTATATGAGAATTTCAGGTGTTTTGGGGGAGTTGGGAGATAATTCAGTAAGTGCCAAGCATTGGGGTAGAAAATGTTTTTTAATTATGCCTTGCTAGAACCCTCCCACCCCACCCTCAAAAAAAAATCATCCCAAACAGACAAGTTGCCCTTTTTAATGACAGAGTTATAGTTGACATTTTGTTATAATTTTGGTATAGATATTTGTAACTATAAATTGGGTGGGAAATTTAATTAATAGGATCTGATAAAGATATCAAATTTCTTTGTGAAAGTGACATACATTGTAGCCTCTTTAAAAATATGGTTACTATCAAAATTGATTAAAGATTTAATATGAACATCACAAAAGCTTGTGGTTTTTGGTACTAAAATTGATCGGTATTCTGGAGTTTTTCACAAACATAAGATAGATTAAATACAGTAATATCGTTGGGTTGTTCCGTCTGTTCTGTGACAAGCGGACAAAATCCATCTGAACTTACAAGTAAGCCATTTGATTAAAGCTGTGTATATATACTATATCCCATCCTTACACAAACACTGTAAAGCACTTTGATGAACTATATTATTAAATAGCCTCAGTCATATCAATCAACCTCCTATATTAAACGGACTGTATTTCGAGAAGTACAGAGTTGTCTAGAAGTGATAGACTACCAGTAGATTTGATTAGAGATTGAAATTGATAGAATTCTATATTAAATTCTACATAAATGTGTAGCTACTTCGTTATAATTAAAAAATAATTTCAGCCAATCTTGAGATATCAGTTCTACTTTTTTGCCTGTCTGTCAATTATCAATTATACTTATGTATTGTTTCAAGTCTCTGAACGTCACTTGAGGGACGGAGGAATCCTTTGCCATCTACGATTTGTGAAAGTTGAATCTCTACAAGGAATATGCCGTCCTCTGCAGACGACATAAACAAAAATGAAATGAAATGAAATGGGGTTTATCGTTCCTACTGTTCTGTTCCGAACTGGGCTAATGAAGACAGGCATATGCCGTACAGTGTGCTATGAGGGAAATTTTGCCCAGACATCGGCACTACGGCCTACTCTTTTATCGAATTCCAACTGTCAAGGGATCTTTTACGTGCACGCCAATGTGTACATGGGACCTCGGCTTCTTGTCACATCCGAACGACTAGACAGCTGTCCTTGTCAGGCCCTCCGTCTATTAAAAATTCTGATGAACTGGCGACTTGAACAGGACTCATTACTAAAGTCAGCAAGTTGTGACTCGACTCAGAAAATGAAATAGTGTTTAATGCCCCACTTTCCTGCGAAGGCTGGGCTAACGCAGACAGACATATGCCATACAGTGTGCTATGCGGGAAATTTGGCCCGGACAGCGGCGCTACAGCCTTCTCGTATATCGAATTCCAACTGCCAATGGATGTTTTACGTGCACTTGAATGTGTACACAGGGCCTAAGTTTTCCCTCCCATCCAAACGACTAGACAGTTGTAGTTGTCAGGCCCTTCATCCTGCATTATACCCCAAATTATGGCTCCCATGTAGTAATAATATATTAGCAACCATAGATATATATATATACTACTATGACATGTAAGCTGTGTAAAATTGACATATATACATGTAAACAATCTGTTACCAACCATATATAATCATTTAATATCCCTCACCAGCTGACTGAATATACAAACTAAGTAATAAATAATAAATTATAAGTAGATATTGTATGCTTAGCTAACTCACTATAATATAAGTCAATATGAAACATATGTGTGTTAAATAGCTCAGAAGAAATCTTGTTTTCGAGCAAATTGATAATTATAAATAAAAAAAAAATTCCAAAATATGAAATGAAATGAAATGAAATGGGGTTTAACGTCCTACTGTTCTGCTCCAAACTGGGCTAATGAAGACGGCCATACGCCATACAGTGTGCTATGAGGGAAATTTTGCCCGGACAGCGGCACTACGGCCTACTTTTATATCGAATTCCAACTGTCAAGGGATCTTTAACGTGCACGCCAATGTGTACACGGGACCTCGGTTTTTCGTCCCATCCGAATGACTAGACAGCTGTCCTTGCCAGGCCCTCCGTCCTGCATCACTGACAAGGGGGAAGCACGCCAGAAAATCTGGATGAACTAATTCCAAAATAATTATGACACATATATATAACACATCAGATAAACTGAAATGAATAATATATTTTTACATTAATCTACACTAAAGACAGGAACGTTTCCATAACATAATACTTCTGTCATTTTAAGACTTTTTATTATTTATGTAACATATTTAATTGAATTTGATGTGTTTATTTGTTTTGCGGAGTGGTGATATTTCTACATTTAATAACATTAGGTCTGTTGTTGTTAAAACCAATCTTGTGTTCTAAATGAAACTAAAATTATTAAACAAATGGACTTCTGCTATCTCTCAAAATAAAATAAAAAAATATAGTGCATTAACCCACCACTAAATTTCATAACTATGTTTAGATGGAAATCAAAGAGCTTTTACAGTTAAGTGTGCAAGAATGTTTAGAGATACTTTTGCCAAAGGAGTATCATTTCCATCTACATTTATTCAATTACTGTTCATAGCGATCTTATTCTTGTACTCCCAAATATTACAGAACTTGTTGTTATAATTAACGAAATGTTGAAGGTTTGGTATTATCTTCATCTTTGAATTACATATAGGTCTACTTGGGGGAACCATAATGTTTTCAGTGGTTAGGGCATCAACAGGTCTTAATCCAACCCTGACAAATAGGTAGTTTTGCTGTATTACATCTTTAAGTTAAAACCTCACTTGCTCAAGTTAGACAGTTACTAACATTAAATGGCATTTAAGTTTCTGCACCAACGGGCATTTGTCTGGACACAGCTCTTTGGCCTACTCTGTCATGGGTTCTTAGAAACTGTAGGGGAAAACCGTGCCGGAAAAACCTGAGGAACTTCTCGGCCAACACTTGGAGTTAACCCAAGACCTCCTGAGCCAGTGTCTTACTGTCCCACACTGCGGCTCCCCACTTTCTAACAAGTTAATCACTTCTATTTTATAATTTAATAAATAAGAATATTGATATTTGAGATATTATATTAATATTATATATTTATATCACACATACAAATGTGATATACAATATGTGTATTGTAAATTCTACAACTTGACATGACCCAATTACCAAGATAATTAATAATTGATTTCATGTATACAAGTATAATATATACTGATAAAATTCATATAGAGGTTATTATAATCTGAATTAACTGTTACTATATATAGTTACTACAATAAACATCATAACAGCCTATAGGATTCAAAATTGTATACAAAAATCTAATTCAAATGTGTTTCCATGGAAACACAAATATTTTTAAATCCGATAAATTTCTAAATAGCAAAAGGCATAACTGTTCAGTTTTATAAGATATACTTTGGAATAAAAATTGCATAAATGCAACTATTTTTAAATCTGATATAATATTTCTAATTAGCAAAACTATTATAATAGGTTGATGTTTGAACAGAGTATTACAAAGATATCTTGAAAGTTTTTGAGAAATGCTCTGGAATGATGATAAAATCAAATCTGTATCCATGGAAACACAATTTTAAAAAATTCAATAAATTTCTAATTATTAATAGGCACAACTACTAAGTCAAATTTGTTTCCATGGAAACACAAATACCTTTAAAATCAATATATTTCTTATTACCAAAATGCAGAACCGCTATATGAAAGCTTGAAATGTACATGTACAAATTTCATCAAGATATCTTGAACCTTTTATTAAATACGCCCCAGAAACAAAATCATGGCAGACGGACATACAGATCCCATTTCAGTGACAGCCATCCATGTAAAGGCTTTATAAAAAAAAAAGTCTTTTGGTTCTCAGTAAATCCTTCAAAAAATCAAATGGATGAATCCTTTATTTCAAAAAAATTATATTTAATTCTAAAGCGGTAGTTGCATTTTGTTAAGTCATGTTTAACTATTAAATGACCCAGAGGTTTGACGTCATAACATCATAAAAACCCACGTCATGATGGTCAATAGTCATATCATTAAAAAAAAACTGTAGATAGACCCTTCATGTAAATGGATGAAATAATCTAAATTTGATGCCATTTTCATAAATATGAATTTTATACCAAAAATTACTATGTTAAATACTCTAATTTAGATATTTGATGCAAGACTCATGTATAATGGTGATTTCTATTTTTTTGTTTGTCTGTTGTGAATTAAAAATCATTCATTGCGAATCTCTTTTAATTATTTAAACATACATTATGCAAGAGCTAAATCTGCCTATTGCAGGTCTTTCTTTAGGCCTGAAATGTTTCATAGACTATTAATTAGACATTAAAAAGATATTAAAAAGATTAGAACAGTTCAGCCATATTTTGATTTAAGCTAAAAATGGAGGAGCGAGACTTAGCTTCTAACAACCAGTACGGTGGTTGAAATTATTGCACACGTCTTGTCAAACGTTCAAAGGCTAATATCTTCACTCGCAATAGTGTAATTTGAATGAAATTTTCAATTTATTCATGTTACAATATCTATTTTTGAACTATTATAGCAAGAATGGCTAGCTCTTTATCTAAATCTTACATAATGTATCTTGAAGTAATTCATTGATTAACCCTACTTCTATCACGTTCTAAAACAAAATTATCAAAACCTACAACTACCATCAAATCTATACACAGCCCTACATTGTTAAAGAAAATATTCCTATTAGTTTTATAATTCACTAGTTGAGAAAGCGGCAAATATATAATTTTCAAGTTGAAACATTAAAGTTGCAATTGCAAATTTTCAAGTTATATTTTTAAACTGTATTAAAATAAAGCCTTAATAAAGATGGTATCCAAAAACAGTACTACCTTGTTAAAGAATAATCCTATTAATCCTATAATTCGCTATTGCCAGCTGAGAAATTGGCAAAAATATCATTTTTAACTTCAAATTCCAACGTTGGAAAATGGCTGCCCCATGTTGTCAATAGCAAAACAGGGGAGGTAATTGTGTTGTTATTTCCTGTGTCATAGATTTTTAGGGGTGGGAAATAATGCCCATGATCGTATAATAGTGATTTGATAACCTATTGAGCAAAAGACATAGAAATAATTATGTTTTCACTTTCTTAGAAAATTTGAAATTGTCGCTTTAACATTGAGCTTTGCTAATAAAGTTATTTGACTGGAATTTTCACCTTTTTTTTTTAGCAATTTCTCTAAACTCCCGTAATACCCCCTTATGATCATCAACTTATTATTAGCACGAGAGATCAGTAATCTGCTTGCAACATTATTTTTTACTTTTTAGTTTTTACCCATTTTTCTAATGAACCCATAATATTTGTAAACCTTTTGAACAGAAGTCCTATCAATGTGTTTTTGATGGACAGTAATTCTGTAACAGTACTAAAAATAAAAGGATTAGTGGGCTTCCACGTATTAGAAGAAACTTTATAAACGTTAATTTCTAGACGTTCTGTTATTAGCTACAATATTGCCATTTCTAACAAAAATGCTGCTCTATCACCCCAAAAAACAAGAACCATCGCTACATGAATGTCAAAATGAATTAAACAACAGTATATGAAGCCACCAAAAGACAACACTGAGAACGAACGTCTTACTAAATTAAACTAAAGGCATATTTACATGACAACTATTCAATACTGCTTACTTTGAAACAAATACATCCAAACTATAGGAATGGATTCATGTTAAAGGAAATGAAATCAAATAAAATGGATTTTAACATCCTACTGTTCTGCTCCTACTGGGCTTATCAGGATGGGCATACGCCATACATTGTGGGATGAGGGTAATTTTGCCTAGACAGTGGCACTATGGCATCTCTTTATTTTGAATTCCAACTGTCAAGGGTTCTTTTACGGGAACGCCAATGTGTACACAGGACCTCAGGTTTTTTGTCCTATCTGAATGATTATACACCCGTCTTCATTAGCCCAGTTCGGAGCAGAACAGTAAGACGTTAAACCCCATTTCATTTGATGACCATACCACATTCCTACACCACTGATAATGCCAAACCACGCTGGAAAATCCCGATGAACTTTCCCAGACAACACAGGGATCGAACACAAGACCTCCAGATTAGCGAGCCAACCTCCAACATAATAATGAGAACGAAAAGGGGTTAAAAATCTTGCCAAGATTTTGGTAAATTTCAATATTCATGTGCAATGTGAGAGGGTGGGAGAACATTTTGCTTAGAAAGAGCCATATCTATCTCCTCTCCTCCAAATTCTGACGGCAAAGGATTCTATTAAATTAGTGTGATCAGGTTTCACCAACTAGGTCAACCAATTCGGTTTATCAAACACTAACATAAAGGTGGGGTTCTGTTTTTTTTCTTTTTCATGTAGTGAAGGGTACATTCTATAAATACTGCCAATACTACAAATGCTGCAAATACTGCTGATACTGCTAATACTAATACTACTACAAATAGTAATAATACTGCTAATACTACAAATACTAATAATACTGCTAATAGTATTAATACTAATAATACTACAAATACTCTTAATACTAAAATACTAATAATACTGTTAAATACTGTTAAATACTAATAATACTGCTAATACAATTTAAATACTGCTAATACTAATAGTACTGCTAATACTAATAATATTAACAGAAGCCAAGCTTTTAGGATTTTTTCCCATTATTTTTAAACAAACCTTGAAGTATATGGGTGCTAGATCGCCTACTTCTCTCTCTAATGGTATACAATCTACAAAAGTATGTGGTTGTCGTTTTAAAAACATACTCGTCTCCATAAATATACAGTCTTCACCACGCTCACTGAATAAATTTGTTAATGTTTTACGGAATGTCTGAAAAGAGACAAATACACAAATGTCTCAATTAAATCAAAATGCATTTTTAGGTTGTTTTGGCAAAATGTTAAATTCATGAATACGAGTTATATTTATAGCACGGCTTCCATGAGTTAACAGGTTTAACCAGAGGCCGTAGGCCGAGGTGTTAAACCTGTTAACGAATGAAGCGTGCTATAAATGACTTGTAACATTGACAACTGCTCAACATGCTTATTGTTATTGCACAGAAAACCCACCCGACTTCTCTATATGATTTCTACTAAAACTAGTGTAAACCAACAAAAGAGTGCAATAGCATTAAAAATGTCTAGTTATTGCACAGTTAAGCTCCAATCAGCCTGTTAGAGGGAAAACAATCTGCTTATTCAACAAAAAGAACAATGGAAGATTTCCCATCCATGTTACAATATCAAATGGTTCACTATCTTCAGTAGCTCAAATAAAGTATCCGAACACCAAGTGCCAGTTTAACCAGAGAAAGGAAATCAAGAAAAATGATATTAAATCTTTTGAAGTAAAATGGCTTATTATTTGGGTTTATTTCAAGACGTTGGTCAAATTACACTGACTTAAAGTACATATTACCATTATATGGTCATTTTATGTGCTCTTTAATACACATTTACATGAAAGTATTCAATTCATTAACAGTTTAATAACGGTACCTACCTGCATCTCCTGCCATACATCTTCATCTATAGCTGTCGCAGCAGGACAATGCATCATGGGAACTATTTGACAATGTCCGACTGATAATGGTTTATGTTGAGGTAGACACAGATATGACTGAAAACATAAAGTTTAAAATAATATGAAATGATTATACAATGATCAGGTGATAAAAATACATTAAAGGACCTAAGTCCGTAACTCAAAATCCTCCAAAATCTTCGACATCGAAAACACGAATTATTGGTCAATTTAAATCAACATTGATGATGTAAACTTACCGGGAAAAGATGAGCTTCTGATATCCGATATTTAAGATAAAATAATTTTTTTAACATTGGTACACGAATCGTGTACCATAATGCGCTTCAGCCCTAGTTGTATTGAGAGACTCGAGGGACGAGGCTAGACACATTGCACCAAATCAAATGGAGTTATGTAGACTAGAATAACTAGACGCTAGAAATTTGCACTCGATTGAGATTGCTGACTTATTTCGCCGAACATAACTGATTTGAAATTGGAGTAAAAACGGAAACCATTAAATGTAAATCAGTTTATATACATTCATATTACAGTATTATATGCGTTGCGACCCACTTTTGTGAATTTCTAGGTCCCAAATGTTAGCGATTTAGCTCCTTTAATAATGATGTAGGCATATGAATGAAAAGGCGAGCTTATCTTTCTCTACTCTGGGGAAAATGGAGAAGGGACTGTCATTGTTAGTTGCACAATTTAAAATGACTTCACCTCTTTCAATTTGCTTAAGTGGTCAACCAAATTCAACACATTAATTTCAACTAAACCATAGAACCTTTTTTTTCTTATAAAAGCAAAATCAATGGTTTAAAAAAATAAGTATTATAATTTGCACTATTGCATTGATGAAAAATTTTAATCATAAAGGACTATGGCTTTCAAAAACACAAAATATATCAAAACATATTTGAAATTTGTTTTCTACCTTTTTTCCAATGGCTATAATCATATGTTTGGGAACTTTATCAAAACAGAACTGACATCTTGCAATGGCAGCCGTCATCTTTTGATGTTCTGGAATCAAAGAAAAATAAAACAAAAGACTTCAAGAATTTGTAATTGTAATTACTGAATACAATAACGGCATCATAAATCAATACTTGTTACCATGCTGGAAATTTATCAGATTTTTCGTTATCTTTGATCTTACGGCAATTCAATTAAAAAGAATTCATCCCTTGATGCTACAATTATTCATCTCTCCATCCGAACCGGCAGTCGAAAACAAAAACTGTTATTTTAACTTTCAATATTCATATTTCAGACGAAAAAAAATTCTGTAGCCACCTCAACTTCAAAGACATTCCTTTCTTTCCATGAGATGTTAATCAATCCAACATCCTCAGTTGATCAAAATACATGTATATATGACTTTTCATATTCAATTAATGTATAAAAAAATAACTTTAGTCTATTGTAAAATCAAAGAACATAGAATATTTGGATTTTAAGGCAGGCTATGATGTCAGATTTTCAGAATATCATGGCCTAATTATAGTTAAGATTTGATTTGATTTTCAAATTGTCAAATATTAACTTCTTACAGACTCAAGTCTGAAATAGATTTAAATAATATTTTATTCATAGGTTAATGAAACAAGCCAATGGCTTATATAAATAGGTTCCAATGTCAGACATCTGAGACAGCCCTCAGCATCAAGGGGTTTGTGATCTTACTTAACAATATCTTATGTGTATATACACACAACGCCAGATTAACCGTGAGGCATGCTAGGGCACAAGTCCCAGGGCCCCCTACCAAAAATCTCAGTTGCTCTAAAAGCAATGTGAGCATGATCAAACCAAGGACTCCATCTGCTAGTGGCAGTGATGGGGCTCTACATCAGATTTTTTCAAAGTCTTGACCTGTGTTGCGGTTGACATCCGAGAACTCGGTGTAATCCAGCGATGCCACGTCGTACTTTCAACTGCTATCCGTTTCTTTTTTTGTTTAGTGGCAATATTTGGGTAATGTTTTTAAAAAAATATTTTTTTATAAATTAATAAAAAACATTATGTTACTTGACTGTAAAGTAGAAGAAAATCGGTGATTTTTCTGAATGTAGGTACCTAGTTCTGTGGGTAGGAATAGAATCGGATTCTGTAAGTTCACTTTTGGGAAAAAATTGGTGAACTAAAAACTATAAGCCACCTTTTATTTAAAATTGTCCCTGAAATAGTTTTGTGAAACACCACTAGTTTAAACATACATTATGCAAGAGCTAAATCTGCCTATTGCAGGTCTTTCTTTAGGCCTGAAATGTTAACTAAATTATTAATTAGACTTTAATTAACTTATCCAGACCATAATCAACTTTCGATGTGATCGCTAGCCTGCGATATTTACTGGATTAAGATCCGATCTGCTGCTTAGTGCTCATTCATGACTAAATCAAGCAATGGATAATCGCGACTATGTTTTTTATCGTACCGACTTTAGTAACGATGATCGAAGCTAGACCGAAATTCAATTGCTAAATTCTCGGTTCAGAGTGGATCAATTTGACTGAAATTTTCAGCAAATCCCCTTTACAGTATCTAGTTTTTAACTATTATAGTGAGAGCTGCCAGCTCTTTATCTAATCTCCCATAATGTATCTTTAAGTATAGATAAAATTTTATTTAAGTGTATTTCATCTAAAATACTTAAAATCGTTTTGTGAAAGTAACCTATCTTAAGTTAGAATGAAATTTTAGTTTAAGACAATTTTAAGTAGATTTAAGTTTTTGAGAAACAGGGTCCTGATGTTAGAAATTCTTACCCATAATAGATTTCATTTTATCTTTTTCTTCTAATTTGGCCTCTGACTGTTGGCGGGCCGCTTTACTAATGAACATATCATCTACTTGATAATCATCATCTGTCTTCTCGACACTCTGAAAAAAAAAAACCAGTAGTAGCAATGAAGGGAGGCAATCACAATTATTGGTGCCTTCCCTGCATAGACACAGAAGTAAACCTTACAAATGAAATTTGTGATCAAACAGTATATATCAGTAAAAAAGAACCAGATAAAGAGAAATGGGTTTTAAAGTCCACTCAACACAAACTAGATCATTTTGGGACTAACACCTGATTCAATTTTATTTCAATAATTCGCTTAGCAGTGGGATAAAACTAGAAGTTTTGGAGAAAACCCACAAGGTCAGATATAAAGACAATATTCTGGTTTACAGATACCAGTGAGGTCTATGACCAGTTTTTATTCAAAAAATAAAAACATCCTCATTCCTCATTGATTACCGCATGTTAATATTTCCTGTGTTCAGGGCAGTTAACTTTAGTTATCATTTCCAGTTGAATTTGAAAGTGTCCAGTAGACTCCATTATCAATTACACAATCCTCATAAATGTTATTGACAATAATATATGGCACTGGACAATCATAAATTGAATCATTGTTCTCCGGATATGGTGACAATCTATTCATCTGTTTAATTTTTAAAGATCCTTTAAGTCCATACTTTCATGGATGATAACCCTGCTAACTACATGAGAAAGAAATTACTGAAGTTATACTCTATGGAGCATTCATGTATTAGAACTACAAAATCAGCATTTTCATTTGTAGACCAGAGATGTCAATTAGTTTTTAACTTGAGCTTTGTGTACAATACAGTAATGTTCAGATTTTTAACACAAGAATTAGTATGTAAGTGAATTCCTAAAAACAGCCTTAAAGAACAGGTGCTGATATAAATGTAGAACCTTGAAATGTGATGTTTGTGAGAAGTCATTTAGCCATATGATCCAGAGAGAGAGAGAGCTTGGTTTTAAGTCCACTTGACACAAACTAGGTCATTTTGGGACTATCATATGGTTCAATTTTATTTCAGAAAACCCACACGGTTAGAAAGGTGACCCTACTCCTTGTCAGGTACAACCAGGGAATTGAAACCACACCAGTTGACTCAATGACAGACCTTATGATAACACATGCACACGCTAACCATTCGGCTATCTTACTGTCCATTTACCATACATATTGAAGCATTTTTGCCCAGTGCTTGCCCCTATGGGTGTTTTTCAGGGAATCAAGTATTTTTCTAGTAAGATTGGGCATCTCTACTTGCCATATATACCAACCTTACTCTATAAATACTTTCGTGAGAAAGTATCTTTAATTAATTAAGGAGTTATTTCCTCATTATCTGAAGACGTATACAAGATATTTAATATTTTAAAAAAAACAAGATTTAATACATATTTTATAGATAAAATCATAAATTCATAGATAATAAAATACTAACCCTTCCAGCCAATCTAGCAAACATAGAATTTTGATCTTCTGCTGTTCCCATTTTCTCTCGTTCAACCTTAAAGTACAGAAACATACAATAATATATTACAGCTACCTATATACTACTGTACCAGATCTGGGAGCCATGGTGGATCAGTGAGCAAGATGTTGGTTCGCTAACCTGTGCGGAACGAGGACCTGGCAAGGGACAATGTACAGTCGAACGGATGGGATGAAAAATTAAGGTCCTGTGTACATAAAAGATTCCTTGGCAGTTGGAATTTGATATATAAGAGTATTTTGTAGCGCCGCTGTCCGGGCAAAATTTTCCTCATAGGACACTGTATGGCGCATGCTCATCTTCATTAGCCCAGTCGAAGCAGAATAGTAGGACGTTAAATCCCATTTCATTTCCAATGTTTTTGTGAACATCTATTAAAGTTACCTATACACTACTCTATCAGATCTAGATCTACTGTATCGTATACAATGTTTCTGTGAACATCTTTTAAAGCTACTGATTATTATTTGAGGAATTTGAATCTAGTAAAAACTAATTATATTGTGAAAGTCTAAAAATGGTTGAATTGCTTTCAGTATTATGGGGATATAACGAATTGAAAACAAGTACATGGATAAAATCTTTTGATGTACATCCCTCCCCCCACTTTAAAATCTGCTTGAATCCAAACAGGAAGATTTATAAATGTTAATCAATCAATTTTAGGATATTTTTTAGTGTGTATTACTTCAAGAAAAATTAGACACTGTCCGAAGAATTCAAATGTAGATTGAAGCACTGTAAAGGTTAATAAATATTAAAACATTTCCAAGACAGAGACGAATTAACGCGGTCAGTATGGATCTCAATGATACAGTAGGGGCAAGAAGGAACATAGTCCTCCAAAAATAATCCAGAAATTATTCTATTGAATTATTTAAACACAGATGAAAATTTACAAGTTGTTAAGTTAACTTACCATTGTTTTAAGATCTAGTTTATCATCATCATCAAAATATCTTGTTCTATTACCATCTTCATGTGTTGATATCTGTAATAATTTACAATAAAATTACATTCAATCACGCAAAACACAGACAAGCTATTTAATTAACTTTTCTCAAAAACATCACTTTGGTCATTATAATTATATCGTTTCATTTTATTTTTCAGAGATTTGCTTTGCTTTATCTTGGTCTACGATAATTCTTGGTGGAACGTGCATTCAGTAATATGTAGGTTCTCATTTGTCAATTCCAGACCAGCCAACCAATCAAATGCCATGAAACAGAAATGCTTTGAAAGGACTTATCAAGTTAAACTGTACTATTCTGTTGTCTTTAGAAGCCCCAAATGTTTTTTTTCTTAAACATGTTTTTAGTTTTAAATGTTAATTAAGTGACCAACCGAATGAACAGAATTGTGGCACCTACAAGTGAAACAACCTTAAAAAAACCTCAGGAAATCAAAAAAAATAATTATGTATCAACTATCATATAACGTGAGGATCTGTTAGATAATGGACATTATTATTGCACAAACAAATAGCTAAATGGAGAGAGCATTGTTGACTTTTTGCAACTCCTGACTGTATCAAAGAAATGGCTGATTTTGAACTGCATAGTTTCTTTCCATACTCAAATAGATTCCATGACTTAAAGATGCATTATGTAATGCTAGGTTCTCAATATCATGATTTGTGGTACGATTGAAATCATGATTTTAATCATGGAATAATCATGGTGATCCTATCAGGTCTTATCATATATTGAGGTCATTCTTAGAAATCTTGTTGATCGTATCCAAAAGTATCCAAATGAACCAGATTGTGAACTCAATAGGGACAACCCTATCTAGCACATCGCATGTCAATGGGAACCTAGCATAAGATTTGGATCAAGTTCTGATCGTTCTTGCAATAATAGTTGGAAGTTTCAGTCAAATTACTATATTCGGAGAGAAGGTGTGGCTGTTTAAGTTTTGTCAAGATAGTCTCGATTGTCAAGTACCATTACTACAATAATAAACAATGTCTTGATTATCCATTTTAATGTTAAATTATTAATTTGCGAATGTGTTCTAATTCCTTCAATATTAGGGTAATTATGGGCTTGTCATGTGAATAAATTTATAAATAATAATTAAGACCTGCATATAGGCAAATTTATCTCTTACATAATGCATCTTTAAAACATGAAATTATTTATTGCAAAATCTGAGAACTGTCAATGGCAGCCTCATCAGCTTATTTTTCGTAAATGATGTAAACTCGCAATTAAATTTGTTAAATATTTTGACCACACGCTGGACAGTTTGTAATAAATTAATGCTAAAATTATTTCAAGTATTGATGCAGTTTAAGTTACTTTTTTCTGTCGTTTTCTTCCTTGCTTTGGTTCTCTTGCATGTTTAGCTTCTGATAAAGGCATGACAAATCCAGTCTTGGTAGTCCTTGTCAACAAGACTTCTCCTTCCTCTTCTGGTTGACTGGAAGTTGGTGCAGGAGGGGCATTTTTCTTGGCCTCCCTTGCATTCTCAAGTTTAGTTTTCAGTTCGTTAGCTAATGTCTGAAATAGAAAAACAAGATATAAAAGGCAGAAGAGAAGACTGAATAACCGAGATGCTTGTTTCGATCCAAAAGAAGCTGTGGTGGCTCAATGAGTAAGATGCTGGCTAACTGATAAGGAGGTCAAGGGTTTGACCCCTGTTTTTGCCGAGAAAATTCCTCAGGATTTTTCAACTGAGTCTCCCCATAACAAAGGGACATTCAGAAGGGTTTGGAAAGCAAAATGTATCTAGTCATTTGGATGGGACAAACAACCTATACCTATACATATAGGTACCCCTGTCTACTTCCTGGCATGCATGTAAAAGAACCATTGACACTACTGTCCAGGCCAAATTTCCTGTCTTCAAAAGCTCAGTTGTTGCAGAAAAGTAGGACGATTAAACCTCATTTCAAATCATTTAAAGATGCCTCTTCCCATGTACAAACTGGCTGATTTGATGTTATATTTGGACTAAAAACATGTTCAAACTTATTAATCTATCAAAAATTTGCTTCAAATCCCCCTCCAAGCACTATTTTAGCGAGGAAATACAAAGATATAAAAAAAAATCTATTTTTAGAAGCCATATTTGTCCAATAACTTGATTGAGGGAGGGCCCATTTTCAGAATGCATTTGTCGTTACTTACTGTCCATTTACCATACATATTGTAGTCTATGTAAATTCTTGGATTATCTTCTGCCAACTTATTTTTCCGCCGTTTAATTGCAGAACCTATTTTTCCCAAAACCACTAACAACCGCTCCCTAAGTCAAGCTGGCAGACCGGGCTGACAGTTAGTGATACCCTGACATTTTGCCCAGTGCTTGTCCCGTGGGTGTTTTTCAGGGAATCCATATTTATCTAGTAAGATTGGGTGTCTCTTCTTTGCACATTTACCAAATTTGCCATACTTTTATTAGAAATAACTACCCTATAAAAACTTTCGTGGGAATGTATCTTTAATAGGATCAAAAATAATAAATTAAATCAAATAGGTAAAGTTGTAAAGAAAATATCTACATGACAGAGTATATACCATATTACAACCGAAACTGTCCCATTTTTTCCCCAGGTGATTTTATAAAATAGTTTTACAAATAATACCTCATCACCCATTATTTCTGCTTTTAATATTTTAGCTGCAAGACCATTCATTTCTGCTTCTGTCAAGATAACTGGTGCTATTACTGGAGGAGGTGCTTCTTCAGCTTCACTCTCCGATTCACTACTACTAGAGCTACTATCACTTGATGCTGAAACATTTAAATACATCTATTATTATTTATCATCTAATAACGAATTCTACAGTTGATAGATTTATCGCTTGTGTGATAACTTTCATATTCTACTGAGCGATATCTCCTATCACATTACAGAAAATAAAATCTATACGTTACACCCCATTTCTCTCCCTCTCTCTCACTTTATTTGTGTTCTGAGCCTGGAGGTGCCAGAGAAAGCCTACACAATTGGTCCAGCAATGAGCTTTATATCCAGCTGAGAAATCTCTAAGTAAATTCAACACAAAATATGGACTTTTTCTTTATACATTTGTTCACAAGGCAATTGTTGATGGACTGACAGATGGACCGATGGACAGGGTGACAACATAATATGCCCACAATGAAATATGAGGGTATAAATATAAACTGGCTGGCAAAATGCTTTAAAGGTATCCTGAATGGTGATGGTCCGATATGGCACCTATCAGTTTTACCAATATCAGATACAGATACAATTACTGATAGTGGTGGATATAATACTATTACACATTAAAATGCCTCGAATGGCATGATAATCTATGTAGATGTACATGTACGTCATTGTTAGTCGGGAAATGCATGTTACTATTTTACCTTGAGAATCAAACACGAACACTGTGTTTTTGAAGTAATAAAATTGGGTCATGCTTCCTACGCAATCACAAATACAGTCCATCTATTATGAACTTAATTATTTGCTTATCATCTATACTAATATTTGTGACTGTCGTTTGTCTGTTTGTCTGTCTGTCTGTCTGTTCGGGGTTGGCGGCTACACTAGGTCTGCCCCGAGTCTGAAATTTGGGGTATAGAGTAGCTCAGCTCGGACCAGGGGGTAACATAGGCCAGGTGGCGTTAGTCTACCACTTCCGGTTTCGGAGTTATGACCCCCCGAGCGAAGCCGGGTATCCTGCTAGTTAATGAATAAAGTCGAGATTATCATATTTTAAGTGTTGATTACGATATAATTCCCTAGAGTGATCGGCACCTGTATGTCAATAATAGATGTCGGAATGGTTCATGAATGAACGAAACATCAAAGCGATAGCTTCCTGACCTGTCAACAGTAGCAATGACGTGACATTCTCATGCCATATCTAGAACTATAGTTAAAAATAAAACCATCTAATGGAAACTTATTTGTTGGTAGTATGATCTATATTATAAGTTATTATTTATTGATATAAATTATGTCTAAATTTTTAAAGTAGCCTAGCATAACAATACAAATCACTAAATTATTTCTAAATTTTTATCGGCATCTACTCTGGAAGCCACAATGTCTGACAGTAATCATGTGACATCAAAGGAATATACCCCCTTTCATCTTTCATTCCAATCAGGCATAAACCATGTGATATTTTCCTGCCTTTTCCAAAACTTCTACTCATTATAATAGTGTCCAGACAATACCAGCAGTGAACTAAATAAAACGCAGGGGAAAAAAATGCATGCCAGAAGTAGTAAGATTTGGAACTATTTCACAATTTAAGCGACATAACAGCACAAGACGCTTCATATATATACCAGCTCTGTATGCAATGAAAAGCCATTGTTGACATCTTCTTTGGTTTTATTATCGAGAATCGTGATAGACAAATAACTATTGTGAGGACCATCGTTTATTTCATATAGTTAATAAATTTGTTAATAATTATCAGAAACAATTTAAATACAAAATTCAATAGCCTAATTAGGTATTGTTCTAGTTTGTGATCAGCACACATTGAAAACAGATCGAAGAGGTGTCTCCGCGATGTACATGTACTGACCGTGTTCTCCAATTCTATGATTTTGCAATTGGTTTATTCCCTATTCCAATCAAAAGGTTTATTGGATGCACTGTTGTACGTTAATGTCTGTCTGCACATGCGCAGAAATGGCATTCTCAAAAATGGGATTGAGAGAACCGAACTCTCAAACAGTGTGTGAATAAGGATTTAAAAAATAACGGAGACTGGTAAGGATTTTGTACTGTTTATTCTGTCCTTTTTACAACCCCGATGAGAGTCTTGTATTACCGGTACGTCTAAATAGCAACGCACACAGCAACCAAAATCAAACTTTTATTTCGGTTGCCGTGCGCGTGGTTATTTATATAACAGAGACCGGTAAGGATTTTTTATTGTTTATTCTTTCCTTTTTACATCCCCTACGAGAGTCTTATATTACCGGTACATGTACATCTAAATAGCAACGCGCATGTGTGCATGGCTATTTACATGTAGATGCACCATGTGTCAAGCAAAATAATGATTTGTTCACAACTCGGATAATATTTTAAAGGTAATTATCGAGTTGTTTTGAACAGATATCGGCAACTCAAGTATCGGCAAAATGGCCGTGTATCAGTCGATACCGATTTCTCCCGATAGGCCAGTTATAGGCCAATTACCGATTTGTTCAAACAGATTATCGGACCATCACTAATCCTAAACTATATTCAAGATATCGGATACTTACAACTTGAAGAACTGGTTTTATGTCTTTTTCTACTTTGATTTGAACTAGAAGATTTTCTACTTGGTGATTCAGATCTTCTTTTCCTCTCATCTTTATCAGGTGATGTCTTTTTAGTTTCTTCAGATTTCTTTTTCCATCTTGGTACTTCTCTTTCAGAACGACTTGATCGATAGTCATCCCTATGACTTAGGTCTCGATCTGAATACCTATCCTTATCCGATCTACGCGGAGATCGTGATCTTTGTGACGAATGTCTGCCAGGGGAAGATTGTCTATAATCAGATGGCGATGACGGTCTCTGAAACCGATCCAATTTTCTATCACTATTTTCACTTGGTGATGACGGACGCTGAAATCGACGTCTATTGTCATCACTATGGTCTTTATCACTACTTCTATGTCTTTCATTACTTCTGCCTCTATTTTCACTTGGTGATGACGGACGCTGAAATCGACGTCTATTGTCATCACTAGGGTCCTTATCACTACTTCTATGTCTTTCATTACTTCTGCCTCTATTTTCACTTGGTGATGATGGACGTTGAAACCGGCGTCTATCCCGATCATTATCTCTACTATTACCCTGTGAACTATTTTTGTCCCTGTCTCTAAACCGGTCACTTTCTCTAGCACTACTTTTTGCAGTATCCCTAAGCCTATCACTATCTGGGGATGATGGCCTTTGAAATCTACGTCTGTCTGTATCTCTGCCTCTATCTGAATTGCAACCATATTTGTCTTCACCGGAGGAGGAGGGTCTATGAAAGACTTTTCTATCTCTTTCAGAAGATGATTTTTGGGATGATTTTTCAGCATCCGCTATCATTCGTTCAATTTTCTTCAATGACTAGATAAAAAATAAATAGAAATCAATAATCCAGTTCTAGACACTTTAATCCCGTTTATTTCTTGTGTTAGGGTAACTGTGAATGCTAAGTGAGTAAGTACTGGCGCCCTAACCAACAGTTCCCCAGTTTGATCCAGGTGTTGGAGGAAAAAAGTTCCTCAGGATTTCTCGAAGTGGTTTCCCCTTGTTAAGGGGGGAGCCACTGGGGCTAAGTGAGTAAGATACTGGCTCACTATCCTGGAGGTTGCAGGTTCTATTCTGGTGTTGGCTGGGAATGTTTATCAGGAATTTCCAGCGTGGTTTCCCCTTGTCAGAGGTGTGGGATGAAGGGCCTGACAAGGACTGCTGTCTAGTCGTTCGTATGGGATGGAAAACCGAGGTACAGTGTACAAATTGGTGTGCACATAAAAGATCAATTGACAGTTGGAATTCAATATAAGAGTAGGCTTAAGCGCCGCTGTTAGGGAAAAAAATTCCCCCATAGCACACTGTATGGTGTATGCCCGTCTTCGTTAGCCCAGTCGGAGCACTTGGACGTTAAACCCCATTTCATTATCACCCTTGTTAAGACCTGAAGAGGAACAGACTCCAGACGTTCATATTTGTTGACAATCAGACGTCCTATGCACACATTAACATGCTAGTACAAGAACCCATGACATTTGGAATTCAAAGCAAACACTAACCTTCTATCATTCCCAAATTCTTAAATAACTTTTTATTTTTTTCTCATGTAGGTTTCAAATTTTTCTGACCCATAAATTGTTTGTCATAATAGTATGTTTGCAAAATACTCACTCCCCATTTTTCAGAAACTAATTCCTCAAAACTTCTACCCTCTTCTCGAGCTTGTTCTTTACAACGTGCATAAGACTTCTTCAACCACTCGGCTCCACCATCACCTATTTTTGGCACTGATTTTTCTTTCTCCTGTTTTTCACTGGGTAACCCAGCACCTCCATCTTTCCAGTAAGGATTTAATTCTCGAGCATGTTGGCCCATCTGAAATGGAATTCTTAATAATGTGGAAGAGAATGGAATTTTGACAAGGCAGTGGTATCTAATATTTTTTGTTTATTGGTCGCTTCAAACTTTGATTTAAACAAGGAAAATAAAGATTAAAGATGTTCCCTTTGGGTTAATTAGGTCATGTTATTATGTAATCTGAAAACTTTTTCTCAACTATGATAGTCTTATAATGTAGAAAAATAATATAATAGATTAGTAAGTACATAATAAATTAAATATGAAAAAAATACTATAATTTCGGTTGAGGTGTACAGCTCTACACACCAAAATTGCAAGTTTCAAAGAATAATTTCTGTGTGTTTACAAGAAATCTGAACAGATTGGCTGAACAAATGACAATATACAATATGGACGTGTAATAAAATTGTTCAGAACAGATAAATTCTTACACATTCAAATGAGAGTTGTCTTCCTTTGATTTTCTTTTTTATAAAAAAAACACCAGGTAGTTTCTTACTTGTTCTATAACGCTTTCTTTTTTCTCTTCCTTTTCTTTCTCAGCAGTTTGTTTATCTCGTATGTCTTGTCTCGATGTTAATGGTAAAAAATCTAATGGTGCTTCCATCCAACTATCTCTCTAGAAAGGAATGTATAAAATAATACATAACAAATCAAGTCTGGGTTGTAAAATTTAAATAATTTTTTATATAAATATAGGTAATTCATCTCATCTACAGGACAAAGAGAGACACAAACTAGGTCATTTTGGGACTAACATATGGTTCAATTCTATTTCAAGAATTCTTTTGCTTGTAGGAGTTTTTAGCTGTATGAGGAAACCTGAGGCACAAGGTTGAACAGACAACCCTACTCCTTGTCACGTACAATCAGGGAATCGAAAACATGCCACCTGATTCAATGACAGACCATATGATCTAACAAAAAGCGTGTTAAAGCAACTTGTCTGTATTGGTATTAAGGACTGTATATTGTTGGGAAGTGGTTCTGGGGTTATAATAACTATTTGGAATACAATTGTCTGACAGAAAATAGTGATGATAGTGAGCTACATTGTAGTGAAAATATCAGAATAAGTAAAGAAAACAAAGTTGTAATCTAATATTTATTATCATTAGATTACACAGGCCTGAACCTTGATTTACACTGCCCAACAGGTCTAGTGCCACTAAAACTTAGAAAATTGGTTGCCCGAATTTTTTTTCATTGCTGTAGAATTGCAAAATGCGGGACATATAGCTATAGCAGAAAGAACACACCACAGCAAAGATTCATAAATACTGAGAAACAGTTACCAAAGACGGAGACAAAATTTTATGCATTGTCTATATCAAATGATATGGTTGCTTAGACAATATTCTTTGGTGGGGGGGGGGGGGGGTATCAGTACCTTTAACATAGTTGGTCCTTTAATAACTGGCTGTTTGGTATCTGTAGGTGTAACTGATGTTGGTACTTTACATTCCACCCATTCTTCTTCTTCTACCTTCAATACAAATAAATAACTTTTTTTCTCTCAAATCTTCACATTTTTAATCTCAAATTGGGGCTTCAAGATGATACATTTAATGATACATCTACATGTAATTGACAATTGACTTTTAAGAGAATTGGATCAATTGCTCCAATATGGGGCCTTGTGCTAGAGTAATTTTGGCAAGTCAAATAAAACTACTTTTACAAACAAGAGAAAATATATGTATAAAATAAAATTTAGTCATTTCGGACAAATTTTAATAAATTACTTGACTAAAACAGACCTTTGGTTGTTAACTTGGGGGCCCACCGAAAACATTCCTAGTAGGGCTCACAGCTTCAAAGGCCAGTCCTTGATTGCCAACCACTGTTTAGTCAAAATCTACTTTCGTAGTTCGTTCCAAGCTTTGACAAATAACTACAGTGTGCAAACAAGTACATGTACATTTTATTAATAATGTGATTACGCCATTTTCAGATTTATACATGTATGTTAATCTGGTTAAAACACAGATCCTATTTCGTTTCATTTTTTATAGTTCAAAATTTCATTTAACTTGTCTTTACTACACTAGGATCGGGTAGAGTTGTTATCATTGACGTGTTCTGGATGATGTGAGGGATTAGCCAATGAAACGGTCTGATACGGCGAGCTTTTGGCATGAGGTGCAAGGAACTGTGGGAAATCCACTAGAAACATTAATGCTGATTGATTAATCAAATGTCTGACGTCATAGGGGCGAATCCCGCTCGTATGACCTCTGATGCTACCTCCCAAAACAACTGGTCAGATCTTCATGTAGTGTAGGCCATCGAATGTATAAAAAAACTAAACGAAATATAGATCTGGGCCCTTATTCACGAAAACTTAAACTAAGTTACAACCAAAATTTTAAGAAATACTGCAACTTCATTGGATATATGCAAATTGATTTTACTGGTCAACCAATCGAATTGCAGTATTTCTTAAAATTTCGATTGTATCTTAGTTTAAGTTTTCGTGAATAAGGGCCCTGTACTTTAATCAGATTGGCATGTATGTCAAATGGGAAACAAGAAATTTCTTACGGTCCCAAGTAGTGAATTTGACTTTTCACATCAATACTTTCTAGTACATAATTTCGATTTGAACTGTGAAAAAAACACATTTTTCTAAAATTATTAAGTAACATATTTTAAAGGAAGAGTGTAATTATGGCTTTTTATCATTCACAATTTTAGCACAGTAATTGTAATATGCTCACAGAATCATCTGAAGACGATCCTTTAGTTTTCTTTTTCTTCTTTTTTTTCTTCTTCTCCTTTTTAGCTTTCTTTTTCTTCACTTCCATTGTCTATTATTAAACAAAAAAAGAAAATAAAACAATAACAGAACGATAACAGTTTGTTAAGAATTATTTTTTTACAAATAATTTTTGAAAAATTGAGGTGTCAATGATGATCTGGACCCAAATATAACATTCAATTTCATCAGCTACAACCTCTCAAGCACTTCCCAAACTCCACTGGGACAGGAAGCTTGCCCCCATGCATCACTCCAACCAACAAAAAGCTCAATTAACATGTTTCATAGAAACACAATAATAAGCAATCTGATTAAAACACAGATCCTATTTCGTTTCGTTTTTATAATTCAAAATTTCGTTTTACTTGTCTTTACTACACTAGGATCTGGAAGAGTTGTTATCATTGACGTGTTCTGAATGGTGTGAGGAATTAGCCAATGAAACGGTGTGTTACGGCGAGCTATAGGCGTGTTTTGCACGGAACTGTGGTTAATCCACTAGTAACATCAATGCTGATTGGTTAATCAAATGCCTGACGTCATATGGTCAAAAGCCGCTCGTATGACCTCTAACGTGACGTATTGCTACAACCGGTCAGATCTTCATGTAGTGTTGGCCATCGAAAGTATAAAAAAAATGAAACAAAATATAGATCTGTATTTTAATCAGATTGAATAATAAGTGAATATTTTTAGATTGTTCTGTAGAGGGCAGCCCGGGCCCCCGCAAAGATCCACCAGTGCATGTACCATACAGATTACTCTACCTACTGTAGATTCCTTTGTGATTCTTGAATCAACTGACGGCAGCATCCATTTATCTTCTCCTCTAAGTTTAGCTTGTTCTTTCCTTCTCTCTTCTTTTTCATATTTCCTCTTAGCCTGAAAGACAAGTTCAATAAAACAGTCAAATCAAAATATTATACCAAACAATTGGTGCTTTAGCTTAAAGGGACTATCCCGATTTGAACAGAGTCGCAAAAATAAAAGTAGGTGTACATATAACATTTAAGCGCCATAATATAGAGGAATGGTGTATTTACATTGTCTCCGAATTTCAGTCGTTGGGACGTGAACGTCAAAACCGCTTATCCGGACACGTAACCCTTTTAAGATTTCGGGACAATTTTTTCATTGGGTGACCTGATAATCGATTGCCATCTCTTTAGAGGTCTATACCCATGTGCTGTACTTGATAACGAAATATAAATTTCACCTACACCTTATTTTTATAAAATAAATGTCTGGTTTTATCCAGTCACAGTATAATAGATCTTGGGACACCAGTCAACATTTTCATACAGTATGAAGACTGGCGGATTTAAGTTGTTTGGAAACGTATCACATATTGAGTTAGTTGCTCGGCCTTTTTTCATCATTGAATCCATTTTTCCTATATATGTAGGCCTACTGACTTTCATAATCTATCTACAGGGCTGTAGGAAATAATGGTTTTCGAGTAGACTATAGGCTACTGATCTCATATCAGTGAACTAGTTCAACTAGTCATGTCCTGATATTCTTGAACTTTTGCAGACATGCATATTTTTGTAGCAATTCAAGACAAGTTATAGTCTACCCTATATGGTTTTGGGTGCCACTTTGTAATGAATAGATAAAAACATATCCTCCAACACAAAGTGAAGTAATTGGCTGATTCACAAACGACAAAAGAATTTAAAAACGTGTAGAATGCACTAAGGAGGCGTAAATGACTGCCGGTCCATTTGCACTGTTCACGCATCTCACCGTACATAATTGATTAGAAAGTACAATATTTTTTTTCAAAAAGTGAATAAATCACTTTACATACATTCATAATACATTAATATGTGCTTTTAGAACCATTTTTTTCTATTTCAAGGTTCCAAAAAATAGAGCCATAGGCTACGTCTTTTAAAATAGAAAATTGAATGGTGGACAGGGGGGGGGGGGAATATCGGTTAATCCATAGGGTATAGGCTAGCATTAAACAACATTAATAACTGCATATTTTGACACTTGAATGGCTATATAAAAACATTAAGACACTTCGGACTAGCCTTTAAAGAATGGCAGTGGCTATTGTTACGAGTCATAAAAATAATCCTCAGGCTATTGTTACGACGATGCTTTCAGAGCCCTCCGCCAAAGTTTAGGGTTAGGATTTTGTCCATGGGGGGGGGGGGGGGCATACTTTGGAGCAAAGGGTAATCATCAGAGTGCCACATGCATTAGTGGATCCAAGTCTGTAGTGAAGTTGAAATCCATTGATAATGATTCAGAGAGTAATAGAAATCGATGGTCGTAACAATAGCCACAGGACTATTTTTAGGACTATTCAGTTTTTAACTTCGCCGATGAAGGGCTCTGAAAGCATCGTCATAACAATAGTCTCAGGACTATTTTTAGGACTCGTGGTAACAATTTGCCACTGCCTTAAAAAAAATAGGCCTAACTACAGAATGGAATTGAGATTTCAATTATTCGTGATATTTATATATTTTTTGCTATAGTATATATTAATTTGGCCTATTGTATATGAAATATTATTCACACTGTATAATTATTATGAAATGAGTGTGATCAGTCATGGGCATTATAATACCCATATATTTCTATAAGCCTATAATAAGGTCCATCTCCATCGGCATCATCCATGATTCCATGGCTCAGTAAACAGAAGGAACGTCCCCAGAACGTCAGTCACTGAGTAAAGTCTTTCTTACCTTATCAAGAATCACCTCTCTTGCTTCCCGCAATTCGTCGCGTCGTTCCTCTAGAAGATTAGAACTCACAAAACTGATTCCGCTCGTCATATTTCTCCAAATATCACACGTTATTTTTTTTTACTTTTATCGCCAAGTTTTCATAAACCGAAAGACTAACTTCCGATGAAAATCTAATTTCCGATGTTACGGATTGACTACGTGACTGAGGACAACTAACCTGAGAAATGTCTGTGATCTTATCGACAGTTGTATTATCTGAAAACCTCTGTAACACGAAGGTCATTTATTGAAGATAACTTGAGTTTATAAGATTGCCATATCAACAAATAAATCTAGATTATTTTCAGTTTGTTTTATTAAACTCCCATTTCATATCATTAACAATATGGACTAATCGCGGATAGGGGAGTAAACTCCACTTTTGTAAAAACAAATTTAAAAGAATATGTATGATTGACAAGTGTCGAAGATTTTATAATTATATTAACCAATATTTGAAAAATATATGTAAAAGATTAAAATGTATGGTGAAATTATTATTGACAAATATATTTATTTAATATCATACAAAAATCTTCAAAAATAAATCACCAATTTAACACAACTGATAAAAACAGCTTTATAATTGTTCGCAAGCCCGGTTTCAAATGTGTTATTAAAAAGGAGAGCCGGTTAGCACTCCCCTTGACAAGGACGGAATGGACCTTCATGGTCTTTATAACACATATGGCATGCCCTCCTACTTCGAGGGCACCTTATTTTTTTTTGTATTTTATTGTGAATAAACATTTTCCTTGAATTAAATTTACGAAATAATTATTTTACAAACCATATAGCATTGTCTTACGAACAAGTATTATTATCTTATAAAATATATTTGTTGATAACATTATTTATAATAAAACAAATCATTTAAGATTGAATGGGGCTCCGATTTGAAATGGCACTTGGGCTCTGGCATCAACGGTGACAAGGCGTCTTATGCTGTCACTGTCCTTCACCTTTAGACACATGCAATTTGTATGTCAGTATGGTAAATAGATAGATTTATCTGGTAAAAACATACAACATAATAAATGACATGTGTAATAAAAAAAAATTGAACTAATTTCGGGTCCGCTTTAAAGGGACAATAACACTCTTGCTGGCTTGAAAGCTCCAGAAAATAAATAATATCTCTATCTAAGTACTAGATGTTTAAGTGTCCTACCTGTTGTGTAAATTATCCATTATATCCTATTTTACTTGTCCAAAGGGTTCGAAAATATTTTTAAATCGAAGTTTCATTTGAAAAGGTTTACGTTAGACGTTTCAAACCATTATGTTGAATTTTTCAAAAATTTTAAATAAAGTGTGTTAAGATGAAATTTGTATCATCAATTAATTGAAATATTCTAAAATAGTACAATTTGTTGACCAGAATAAAGATTGGGACATAGTATTCAGTTACAACAAGAGTGGTATTGAGCCTTTAATATTTATGTCCCTGTCTGCAGCCCAGTATAAGAACCCACCCAATTTTAATCGACCCTCGCTATCTAATACAAAGGCTATTCTAGATCATAATTAAGGTCGGTCATTGAGTCAAGTGGCGTGGTTTCAATTCCCCGCTTTTACTTGACCATGAGTAGGGTCGATCGCCGTTCAACCTCGTGGGTTTTCTCCGGGTCCTCTTGATTCCTCCCACAGCTAACCCTTAAGCACAATCGAATTATTGAAATAAAATAGAACTCCGTAAATCCCGAAATGACCTATAGCTAGTTAATGCCGAGTGGACGTTAAACCCCATTCTATTTCCCCCTCTGTCTTTTTCGATGGTACTATCGCGTATTACTGGTTTTACTTGCCGCCTCGTGAATGATGATCGTTATCGTGTCCGGTTGATTTTACCGTATTAATGATACGTACCGTACCCAGCTGTGTTTGGGTGGTATTATTTACAGTATCTTGGTTAAAGATACCTATTATACTAAAAATATCAACCATTACTCATCGACATTTACCAACTTCGCAAAACACCTATACTATTTCGATCGCCTTTTATTTTCTCGTTCCGTTCCTCAGTGGATTGGCTAACACTGAGGTACCTGAGCAACTTGACGAGGACGTACCGGACAAAAGCAATACTTGTTTTCACGATACTACCCATTGTCTTTATGTCTTAGCTTTCTATTTTTGATATATTATATTGGCCATCTTGGATCCTACTTTTTCTGCACCGACTGGGCTTACCAGTGTGTATTGAGAGAAATTTCGCTCGGACAGCCTAATCTTATTTCAAATTCCAACTGTCAAGGGTTCTTTTCCGTGCACGCCAATGCGTACGCGGGACTCAGGGATTTCCTCCCATCTGAACGACTAGACACTGTCATTGCCATTCTTCTATTAAAGTGGAAACCACACCGGGAAATCCTGAGAAACTTTCTCGGCCAATACCAGGAGCGGACTCCTGATTAGCGAGCCAGGGTCTTACTCACTGAACCACCGAGGCTCCCGATGCATTTAGAGCATACTTATTTGGTCTTTGTCAACTTAAATGTTTCGTCCCATCTGAACGACTATACGTTGTCCCCTATCCAACGCCGGATTAACCACGGGGCACCATGGGGCCCAGGGCCCCCCACAAAAATCTCAGTTGCGCGCCTCGAGCATGGTCGGAGCGAGGACTCATTTCATAGCACTCGCATGGATTGGTCCACTGAAATAACGCCAGAATGCGCTAATTTTGTGGCAGAATGTTATTTTTTTCTGGGGTAGGTACTTCTAAATGCCTGGAAATCACGTTTCCGGCCTCCAATTTCTGAAAATTTCATTGGGGGAGCCCCCCCCCCCTTGCGGGGCTTCGCGCATTCGGCACTCGCGGTGGCGGGCTTTGCCGGCCACAGCTCCGCGGTCGGTGATCAGGGGCACCTACATATTCCAGGCCCCAGGGCCCCCACCATGGTTGATCCGGCGTTGCCCCTATCAAGTTTACTATCATGCACCACTGATAAGAGGAGACCGCGTCGGAAAATACTGATGAACTTTCTCAGATAAACATCGGGATCGAACGTCTTACCCACTGAGCCACAGTTGCTCCACAAAGTTATTATATATGAAAAATATCGCACGATTGTTATAACTCCGCGTTATCGACTTATCACTTTGTATAATTTTCATAAATATATAAGATTGCTGGCATTATTGTGGGAATTCGTTACATCATGCTAGAATGAATATAAATAATGTTTACAATATCGATTAAAGACTCAATACCACTCTTGTTGTAACTGAATAATATGTCCCAATCATTATTCTGGTCAACAAATTGTACTATTTTACAATATTCAAATTAATTGATGATACAAATTTCATCTTAACACACCTAATTTAAAAAATTGGAAAAATTCAACTAAATGATGGATAATTTACACAACAGGTAGGACACTAACACATCTAGTACTTAGAATAAGGTTATTTTTTATTTTCTGGAGCTGTCAAGTCAGCTAGAGTGTTATTGTCCCTTTAATGTAACCTTTGTTTATCCAAATAATGAAATGTTTTACCAATAAAATTAAATTATTCTCGATATCATTCTGGTGATCTAGGAATGAAAAATAGAACAAAAGTTTAGGTAGCTAGGTTAAGGTTTTGGTGACATTGTAAATAATATCTCTTAAATCAATACCATTACTATTCAGATCCAAGCCAGTTCTTATCGTGATTTATAAATATATTTAAAATACAAATCATATCACTATTAGTCATCTTGGTGTATAATATCGCAGTCTCTTTGATGGTCGAATTCTAGGAGAGTAATGGCTGAATGAAACCAGTCAGTGCGTTATGAGGGGAAATTGTATCCAGACAGAGGCGTTCCCGTCTGCTTTTCTTCGAAGGTCAGGTATAAATATTAAGGCCAACTGCAGATTTCGTCAAGGTCGCGAGATGTAAATAGATAGGGAACGTGATTGTTGACGAGATTGTGGGTTAGGCTAAGGTCTAGGGCTAGGGTTAGCAATTAGTCCTGTTCACATCTCGTGATCTCTGACCAAAACTGCGGTTGGTCTTAATATTTAGCCCTAACCCGTCCGCGAATTATACCAGTTGGCCATGCACCATTACCATTGACTACAGTACACTCAGGACATTACAACTTTGTCAACTTATACGAATGTCTTTTCTTTCCAACTTTCTTGAACGTTATCGTTCTTGTATTAATAAAGGCAATCTGGCCCTTGTATTGCCAAGATACTGGTAGATATGGGTATACCGATATTAACTTGCCCGAACGTCTCCTTTCTTTTTATTGTGTTAATCAAATTATCCTGACTCTTTTGTGTGGAGGGCCTGACAAGGACAGATGTCTAGTTGTTCGGATGGGTCGAAAAACTGAGGTCCCGTGTACACATTAGCGTGCACGAAAAACATCCCTTGATAGTTGGAATTCGATATAAGGCCGTAGTGCCGCTGTCCGGGCAAAATTTCAATCATAGCACACTGTATGGCGTATGCTTGTCTTCATTATCCCCGTTCGGAGCATAATAGTAGGACGTTAAACCCCATTTCATTTCATTTCATTTTTGGCTCTTTTCTGATTGGTATAATTGTATTCCTTGACCCTTAAAATGTTTGTTTGACACCAAGACGGGGATCCTAGGTACAGGTTTTATATTGTGGGAAATTTAATATCCAAAATGTATTTGGAGGAAATGATGCTCTTTCGAGAATGTAAAATAGTATTCCTTGATACTGAAAATTTTGGTTTAGACACCAAGATTGGTTCCGAAGTGGTTTAGAAGCTTAAGGCTTCCGCTATAAATTATTTCGAGTAAGAGGTGCCCATCAAAAATGAAAAGATCAAGTAAAATGAGGAAAATTTGTCGCTTTTGTACGAAACCTACACATCCATCTCAAATCTGCTTCTGAGCTGCCTCCGTCCATTACAATTATCAGATAATCGTGTCGCCAACCATATTACCTTCCTTCTTTACAGCTAACGCAGGTCTCGCCTTTTCTGTATCAGTTACTCGTCTCTTTGGTCCTCTGTATGCATTGCAAAGAGGCGTCGTCGCAATGAAATCAGTTTAAACTAACGAAAGCATCTCGAACGTTCTTTACAGCTAACGCAGGAGTCGCCTTTTATGTATCAGTTACGGGTCTCCTCGGCCCCCTGTTTCCATTGAGCATCGTATTGTATAGTATGCATGCGTACAATTGGCTAGCAAATTTTTTTAAATAGTAAGTTACCCAGCTAAATCGGATTTCGAGATAGACCGCCAAATCATGGTGATGATAACGTCTTCGACATTAATATTGGTTACACATTTCCTCTGACCTTTACAATAAGATCCACATCATATATAATCAACAGACATTTTGTCATTAATGCATTTCAATTGTTATCGCTGCACAAAACGGAACTAGTAGTTATTCTGGTTTGTTTTTGTCAGATTTTAAATCTTTCACGGCGATGATTGAACTTTTGATCGCTTTGAAGTAATTAATAGAACAAAAATTAAAGCCTTTTAACTTATCTGGAAGAACTTTGACAACAGGTAGAACACTCTGTTATCTCAGATCAGACATTTCTACAAAGAGCAGAAAATCGATCACAATACAATATTCGATCGTTTAATGATGTGTATATAAAACCTCCACGCTAAGTGAGATGCTATTGGATTTTTGTTTTATTTTTGGTGATCGGAGTTCTTTTCCGTCCAGAAAATCTGGTAAGTGTGTTTATAAAGATTATGTATCTTTTATTTTATTTTAACACAACTTTTTG